TAGATGGGCAGTTTTCTATGATTTTTTTTCTTGGATTAACTCCTCCTTCACGCATCCAATAGAGATCCGACCACATGCAGAAGCTGCCCATAGAAGCAGATTGGGAACTTGCGGGGGTAGGGATTGCTGTTTGCGGTGAGATCTCGGCAGAGGGTTTCAGGCTTGGGCTATATGGGCGAGTGATGGTCAGCTCGGGTTTAAGGCTTTCAGCCTGAGGATATCTTAGGATTGTGTGTGTGTGTGTGTTTTTTTGGTTTTCAGTTTTTGGGGGCTTGAGGGTTTAACCTTAGGGTCTTGCCGTTCCCCTCGCTCAGGTCCCAGCTGGATCTTAGAGTCTGGTGGCTGCTGCTGTAGGTTCTTACTCAGAATCCCTCGCTTTTTTGGGGTGCATAAGACTTAGCAAAGCTGTTATTGGGGGCTGTATGAGTGTTTTTGTCGATGCCTGCGGCGGTCTGTTTATCTGTGCATATGTGCATGAGTATGCGCAATCCCACGGTCTATCTCATGGACTCCTACAGCAACGGGCCGAGCCAAGATTCCCTGAACGAGGAACATGGGACACTGAAATCACACCTTACCGACAGGTTTTAACTCCAATGGATCGAGTTGTCAGGCTTAGGCTTGGGACCTTAAGAGACGAGGGGCACGTTCGGGTTCTACGTTCCGGTCCCCATTCAGAGCACCACAGTGAGAATGTGGCACATGGGGCTACCTTGCAAGGAGCCCCTAAACCCTAAACCCCAAACTTCAATGAAGAGCAGCGCAGGAAAAACACGGACTTCTGGGAGAACCGGCCCCTTAGACCTCCCCCCCAACGAAAAAGCACCAAAACCCCCCAAAAAACCCCAACCCCCCCAGGGTTTAGGGGTTTGGGGTTTAGGGTTTAGGGTTTAGGTCCCTGCAACCCTGAACCCTCCGCAGCGTCGTGCGGGTGACGCAAGGCCTAAGAGGTCTGGTGCCTCCTTCCGGCATCTTGCTGCCAGGAGAGTTTGCAGGGTTTAGGGCTCAGAGTCTTCCCATAGGCTCCTTGGTAGTTCCTTTTTGTGGTTTATATTTAGGATCCTATAAGGTAATCCCCAAAAAGGAACCACTAAGGAGCCTATGGGTAGGGATCAGGGTGCAGTGGACTTCAGTCTTTGGGGACTTTAGCATTAGGGTTGTTCGATGAATTATTGTTTTTTTGTTGTATTGCCCGTGTTTGTTATAATGATAAGACTATTTCTATTATGGCTATCATTACTTTACTGCTAACATTGCGAATATTTGATTTGTTTTATGATTAGTCTTATTGCTTTGATATCTCCTGGCTGTTCGGGGATACGAGCACCAAAGGTTTGAAATCTGGGAGTTGGGGCACGAGGGTGTAGGGCTTCGAGTTTACGGATTAGGGATTAGGAACCCTGAACCCTGAACCCGAAACCCTAAACCCTAAAGGGTTTCAGTCGTTGTGGTTTTAGTGTAAGCCTGCACCAGGCAGGTCTTTGACCTTTGCAGTCTGCGGAGTGAAAGGGCCACTACACTTTCAAGCAAAAAAAGGGTTTCAGGCGGTGCCTTCATCAAGCCAGGGCCAGAGTTAGGCGAAGGTGTACACGTTTAATAGGTACCTGGTTGATGTCGGAGGCAATTCTTTCCTGCCTCGAAAAGCTAGGAGGTCGAAACGCCTAGATCATACATCGACAGGTTTGGGTCTTGGATTTCGGCTTTGCAGGTATGGCCTTAAAGATTTCGGGGCTTTGCGTTCAGGGTCTGGGGTTTAGCGTTAAGTGCGCTGTTTGGAATTTATATATAAGCCCATCTCCACTCTGATGCCGAATAGTATTGCCTGGCTTCTTGAACCAGATAAAAATTAGATTCTTGGAATTACCGGAAGCCGTAAACCCAAAAAGCAGCGAGTAGCTAGACCTTTAACTACAGCTCGTCCAGCCTTCTCGCTATGATCTGGCGCAGGTGCAGGCAAACCCTAAACCTTAAATCCCAAAGCCTTGAACCCACGAATCCTGAACCCTCTACTCCAAAACCCCACACCCTGAATCCTAATCCAATAAACCCTAGACTACCCAAATCTCTGAAGCCTAAACAACCCCTCTGGTGTCGGGGATTGGGGATTGCAGCTTAGTTTGACGAAATCCAGGATTCGAGCCGAAGATGGCGGTGTTGGCCTTCAGGAAGCTTTTCATTTTAATGTAGGGGCCTTAAAAATTAAAAAACCCTAGACCCTAAACGCTAAACCCTGCAGAAAAAGGCCCTCAAAAAACAAAATTAAACCCTAAACCCTAAAGTAAGGTTTTGGGAACTCTATTGGCAGATATAGTCTTCTACATTATCCCCTTTGGCCACTACTGGTAGAGTAGAGTAGAACAGAGTATAGTGCAAAGTACCAAGTTGGTGGTTCTACTTTCAAGGTTCTGTCAGACTGTCAGAGGTCTAGCAACTCTAAGTCGTCAACGTGTGGCCGATTCAATTAAGCCCTGCCAAAAAAATGCTTGCGATTTTTTGCGCAGCTCGACTTCCTGGAATCTCCAGGTGTCTCAAGGCAAACCTTGGGATTTCCCAAACTCTGAGTCGGGTTGATGATACCCCAAAAGCCTAAGCCCCTGAATTATTGTATATCGAGCGAGACCTTACAAGGCCCAGAGCGGACTTGAGATTTGGGGTTTTGGGGTTTAGGGTTTTGGGGTTTAGGGTTTAGGGGTTTTAACGTTTTGGGGTTTTGGGGTTTAGGGTTTAGGGGTTTAGAGTTTAGGCTTTAGGGCCGCTGACCCTGGCCGAAGGAGCCGCCACGCTAGTAGAATCTGGTTGTGGGGGTAGCTGTAGTATGATTTCTAGAGTCATTAGGAGTTTTCATTTTCCAATATGAAGTCAGGTTATTCTGGGTTTAGGGTGGGGCTGAGGGAGGGAGTTGATTAGCGTTGGGTTAGGGAGCTGGGGGCTTAGACATATGTAAGCTATACGGGGTCCGTATAATCACCGATCCTAAACCTGGGGTCCCTCAAAGTCAGACCCCGCTACTCTTAATTATAATTTAATTGGTAGCTATTAGAATAATAGTTGCTTAGTATGTTCAATCTAGCCTTTACGTATTCTGCTTCCTAGAAGGCGTACTTGCTAAGTCCTCTGAAACTCCAAGTACTTTCTGAGTTTAGGGCGGCTGGTTTCCACCGTGCATGCTCCAATCCACGGTTCAAACCCTAAACCCTAAGCCCTTGTACCCCAATGGCCACATTCATGCTTCAACAAGAAATGCTTTTCGGGTTGCTGCCTAGACAAAGGGAACTCTGAGCATCCTTGCAATGATCCCTGACTGAAACTGACCTGAAGCTGTCCGGAGGAGGTGTAGCGTGGCGCGGGCATGCAGAGTTTCGTGTTTCAGGAAAGTTGCAGATGTGTCCACCAGATGTCGAGTGCAAAAACCCAGGAAGGTGGCCGTAAGACTGTTCAATCAGGCCTGCTCTGGTGTCTTAAAGCAACATGTTTTTGGTGGATTCTGGGTCAAGGGTGTAGAGGTTTTGGGGTTTTGGGTCTTGGGGCTTTCGAGGTTTAGGGATTCGGGTTTGTGGTTTCGGGATTTGGGGTTGTGGCCCCACCACATCTTTGCCCCGTTGAAAGACTCACAGGCACTCGCGCAACGGTCTGGGTACCTCGGTCCGGAAAGAACCTGTTGTGTTTCAGGCAATGACTTAATCACATGTGCCTCAGTAGTTTGAGTAACGTAAGCAGGAGCTGTGATTGCCACTTCTTGTTTGCTTGCTGCTGTCTTCGGGGGCGTTGCGCCCGAAACCTATAGTCTCGATTTGCAATTCCTTTTTTGATTACCTGGCTTTTCATGATAGGATCCTAGCCATGAATGTACTTAGCCAAAATCAGAACTGCAAGGGAAGTCGCCCTAGTTTGTCGTTTATGGTAACCTTTACAGCATTTTAAACAACCTTATAGGCTTAGCCATCTCTGTAATCACCCTTGTAGTAACCCTTATGGTAACCTTTATAAGTTATAGTTATAATTACTGCAAATACCCTTATAACAGCCCACAGTAGCCCTCATGTTCGCTTCGGGGCGGAGCAGGGCTCAGCGCTCAGAGCTCGTCTAGAAAGCCAAAACTTTCTTGCGATTCTGTAACGACTGCTGGACTATGAAGGGTTTAGGGTTTAGGGTGATTCTGTAACGGCTACTTGACTACGAAGGTTACCACAAGGGAAGAAAGATGGCCATGTCCGTTCAGGCCCGTCTCTCCTGCCTTCTTGTGGCTCCGGCATGGAACGTACAAGCATAGCTTGAACTGCTTACACAAACTCTATCGTGGAGTTTGCAATGAGAACGTGCAAAGACGTAGGTTATGGTAGTTGCAGATAGCTTTCAATCTCGAAAGTTGCAGCTTTGAGAACATACTCTTGAGCTGTTACATCCCGATGCACCAAATAGTATAGAGAAGTATATCGTATATCGTACTACATGTATGCGTATATATATATATATAGAGTAAAGAGTTCACATAGAGTATAGAGTACCATAGAGTATACAGTATAGAGTATGCAGTATACAGTGTAGAGAAGCCACATCGAAGCCCTCAAGCCCTAAAGATGTAAACGGCCCTTCTCTGCCCAACCTCCGAGTTTGGAGCTCTGTGCCACTGTGGGGTTTAGGGAAGTTTAGGGTTTAGGGTCTAGGGTTTGGGAAAGTTTAGGGTTTAGGGTTTATAGTGTTTAGGGTTTAGGCTAGGGTTTAGGCTATAGGGTTTAGGGTTTAGGGAAGTTTAGGTTTTAGGGAAGTTTAGGGTTTAGGTCCATTTAGGCTTTCAGATGTCTTGAGGCTGCATAACTCCAACTCTGAGTCCTAAGCATTGCTGGCACCTTAGACACCTTCATGAGCTCGGAGCCTGATGCCCAAGGTCTTTTCAGCAGCAGCTTTCTTACTTTAGGGATTAGGGTTAGAGTTTGGGGTGTAGCTTTCGGGATTAGTGCCCCTGTAGGCGTTATTGCTTTGCAGGGCCAGAAAATGCCAAGGCTCTACGCCACGCGCCGTGCCATCGCTCTGCTTGAGCACACCGGATCGGTCTGGTGCTGGGGCATGGCCCACTATGGCGGCGCGGCCGTTATAGAGAATAGCCCCACAGAGAGGCGGCTGCTAGCTACCGAGCCCTAACATCACGGCTACGGTTCTGCGCTTTGTCTGTCATTTCGATTTCGACTGCGCCCTGGATGATGTAGCCTTGCTGGCAGCTGAAAGTCAAGAACCCTAAAAAATCCTACCCGCGCGACCTTTCAGGTGGTGATTGCAGCCGTGTGTGGCCACGCCTCCGGAGCGTTCGACAGCCCTTTGACTACAAAACTAATGTTTCAGGGTTTGTCCTTCCAAGAGTGGTGCAGGAAAAGTAGCCGCAATAACGATGAAACTCAATCATTAACCGTTTTACAAGTGATAAGAAGCGGAAGCACAGGATGAGTGTTTGGAGTATGAGGAGGAACAAGCATCATCTCATCCACAACAGCGTCGTGTAAGGGAACCGGTGTGGAGCAGTCGCTGTATTATGAAAAAATAATAATAACAATAATAGTAACAATTATTATTGTTATTATTACTATTCTTATTATCATTTCTATTATTATTGTCTAGAGGAGTTTCTTCGGGGTCTTTGCAATCAAGCGGCTTTCGTCAGGACTTCATGTAGAAAATTTACAGTGCGGGTTTGTTCCTTCGTGTTGCATGCTTTGGAAAGAGTACCTAGTACACACGCACGTGCAACGTACGTAGGTCATATTTTAATTCGTGATGCTCTGCTGCGCTCGTTCATCGGGTCGAGCTAACGATTGGCTTCGCATCTAGCCCTCAAGCACAAAGAACCGTAGACTGTCAGAGGATCTCTTTGACTACGAAGAGGAAATTTGCTGTAATGTAAGGTCACTGTTGCAAGTTTTGGGCTCTGTTTTAGTTTACGACCGACAGTTTCTCTGCCCTGCATGAAGGAAAGTTAGAAAGCATGTCAGGATCGCTGCCTCCGGCGGAGCCTTTGCCGCCCTTTGTGTCGATGGAACTGTGGTTACATGGGGGGCACCCGACTGTGCCGTGCCTGCATTTTCAACTCGAGCCCCAGCAAGCTTCTCTCCCGGCCCCGTAGAACCCCCAGAAATTCGCATCATGATTGTCTTAAACCCTTGAATTGAGAAGTTAAAGTTTGAAAAGCCGCGTTTGCCGGGATCTGTGGCGCAAGTAAGGTCTCATACGCATTCGGTTGTTTTCTTCAGCGCCAAGGGAATTGCTGGAATGGCCCTAAACGCTGACCCGAAGGCTCCAAGATTCTAAGCCAGAGTAGCTGAAGCCATGGGCCTTCCACGTGTGTAGACGCCTTCCCAGCACCATAAGCTCTCGATTGGACCAACTTCCCAGGCTCGTAAGCGCCACCCTCTTCAAGCTTGGCACGCTGCACTCGCTCCATCAGAAACCCAAACCACAAATCCAAAGGTGGGGGCGACAGCAGCAGCGTTCAGGAGATGCGTGCAACAAAGCCGGTCATGGGTAAGGGGGCGGACATGTGCAGCACATGTTTTCTGTGCAGAATACTTATCTCTTATGTAAGCGATGAAGAACTGTTGAGAAGGAGTAGGGTTTAATTGGAAGGGATTCAAAACTTGTCCATCCCCCCTGAACCCCTGAAAAGCTTGACAGCATGTCACAGCCCCAGTAAAGCCCCGAAGGCAAAGAGCCTCAACAACCCTAGACTCTCAAAGGACCTGTACCTGAAGCCTAAAACTCTGAGTCCTTGTACCCTGTAAGCCTTAGATCCTGATGCGACAAAGCCCAAAAGCCGCGCACCTTAAAGCCTAAACTCCCTGTACCCCAAAGCCCTGTACAAATCCCTGTGGTTAATTCTCTACATTAGGGTCCCTGTTTAGGTCCCAAATATAGTACGGCACCCTTGTAACAAGGACCCTAAAAGGGACCTTAAATTTACAGAACTACCCTGTATGAGTCCCTTATACAAGAACCCTTTGAAGGAACCCTTATAGACCCTTGTAAAGCAACCCTGTATGTAAACCCCTATAGACCCTTTTATGAAGGAACCCTTATAGACCCTTTTCTGAAGGAACCCTGTATATAAACGATTATAGAACCCTTTTGAAGGAACCCTGATATAAAACCCTCATAGAACCCTTTGAAGGACCCTTTTCTAAAGCAACCCTCATATACACCCTTATAGAACCCTTTGAAGGAACCCTTATAGACCCCTTTTTTCTAAAGGAGCCCTAATAATTATAGACCCTTTTATGAAGGAACCCTGTGTATATAACCCTTACAGACCCTTTTAAAGGAACCCTGATATAAACCCTTATAGTCCCCTTTTTTAAAGTGACCCTGATATATAAACCCTTTTAAAGGACCCTTTGAAGAACGCTTTTTTGTTTTAAGGATCCCTGACATAAACCCTTGGTAGATACCCTTACTTAGACCGTTTTTCTAAAGGAACCCTGATATAACCCTTACAGATCCCTTTTCTAAAGGGACCCTGAGATAAACCCCTCGTAGGAGCAGCTACAGGGCGTGCAGGCCCTGCAGGCCTCCACAGGCGCCTTCGCGGCGGCAGCTCGAGCTGCCTTTAAGGGTTTCTAGGGGTTTAGGGTTTAGGGTTTTGCTACGCTAGAGGTGGTCCCGATACGGCGGTCCCTCATTTCGGATACTTCTCGTTGGGCTCTGCCATCGGCTTACTTTGTTGGCCTGCCCAGGACAGACCGGGGAGGCTTTACCCTCCCCTCTCCGCGTCCCGCTCTTCTCATACAGGCGCTCGGGCTGTTAGGCCCTCGGCCAGAGCGCTCGGGGCCTGTCGTTCGACGATTTCGGCCCCTCGCTTAGTTTAGGGTTTAGGATTTAGGGTTTAGGGTATAGGATTTAGGGTTTAGGGTGTAGGATTTAGGGTTTAGGGGTTTTTAGGGTTTAGGATTTAGGGTTTAGGGTTCAGCAGTTCTGACCTTGAATTTCTTTTCAAGCTATTTCAAGAATAAACCCCACCCGCCCATAGATTCCCTTCACATTAAGACAAAACAGTTTTACTTGTTTCGATTGTACTTAAACACAATCGTCTCCTGTGGTTCACAGCACATGAACCATCCGTTGCTGAACTTGGCAACCGCCTGTCTCGATCAATATACATATAATGTTCGAGGTGTGGGTTATTGGTTTAATTGACACACCACTAGGCAAAACAGCTCCACCAAGAAATGAAGGGTTCGTGTGCTTCTTACTTGTGCGTAAAAGTGCATGTATACCTGAGTATAGCTGATCCCCCAATAAGCAGAGCAACATGCACTTGTGTTCGAAGTGTGGGTTATTGATTGACGCACCACTAAGCAAAACAGAACCATCAAGAGATTTGATTGACGCACCACTAAGCAACACAGCTCCATCAAGAAATGAAGGGTTCGTGTGCTTCTTACGCGTGCGTAAAAGTTTATGTATATCCAGGTATAGTTGATCCCCCAATAAGCAGAGCAACATATATCATTGTGTTAGATACGAATATTCCTTGATAACCCCCCAATAAGCGAAGTCGGTCCAAACCATAGCGCCCTACAACCTACAATCCTAAACCAAGAGCCCTAAACCCGGGAGCCCAAAACCATAGAGCCCTAAACCCTAGAGCGCGTCAAAGGCCACGTGTTTTGATCAAGTGCCACGAATTTTGATCAAGTGCCACGAATTTTGATCAAGTGCCACGAATTGTGATCAAGTGCCACGAATTTGGATCAAGTGCCACGAAATTTCATCAAGTGCCACGACTTTTGATCAAGTGCGACGAATTTAGTCAAGTGTCGCGAATTATGATCAAGTGCCACGAATTATGCTCAAGTGCCGCGAATCATGATCAAGTGCCGCGCAGAGTTTAAAGTTTAAATTACTATAGGTAGAGAGGTTTCGGATTAAGGGTTCAGGGTTTAGGGTTTAGGGGTTTCGGGGTTTACGGTTTAGGGTTTAGGATTTAGGGTGGAGGATTTAGGATTTAGGGTTTAGGGTTTAGGGTGTAGATTATTAGGGTTTAGGATTTAGGGTTTAGGGTGAGCCCTGCATTGACAGTGCCTGGACAGAGTTTGCAGCGAGGGAAAGGAAGGAAGAGCGCTGCGCGTCTTCAGTTATAAGGGTCAGGGATCAATCTGCGAGTGCGGGTACATCAAGTCAATTTTCTACCAGCAACATCAAACCTGTTTGCTCTTGGGTGAGGCGAGCGATATATCGACATCAAATCCTCCCGCATAATTTCTGTTGAATCCAACGGCCGCATTTCGACTTTCCACCGATGTGTTGGGCGTGCCTACAACGCCGCCAGAGGGTCGGCTACTAGCCGACCATCGAGCGAGCGCGAAAGTGTGTGCAGGCTAGTTAATGCCTTGGAATTTGCAGCCGCTCGTTCGCTCAACTCGCTCTCGCTGCCCCCTTCCATGACAGCCACTGCCATGGCACGCCTGCCAGGGACTGAGCTGGAGCTGGGCGCAGCTTGGCGTGTGCGGCGACGAGGAGGGCTGCCGGTGCAACAACTGCTCCCGGTCGCTGCCCGTCTCGAAGAAGGCACAGCACCCCCAACTTCAAAAATGTAGTTTCGCGCCAATGATCACCTGGCAGGTCCTGTACGAGCTCGTCCGCCTCTGCAACAATGGCCGGGGCGAGTACAGGCACCGTCTCGAGATGTACGAGACGAAGCCACGCTCCCCGAAGGACACCGGAAAACCGAAGCGTCGGTCTCATATGTTTAAAACCAAAAGCATCCGAAGCTGAAACAGGAGCTGCAGGCGGACCTTGCAAAGGCCATGCAACCCAACGTGGCACCCCACGTTCTGTGGGACCACGCGGCAACTGTGAACCTCCTCTTTCAAAACCTTCTCCTCGAGGCAGGCACGAGTCCGCGCCGGCAGAGTTTGTTCCTGAACCTTGACCTGTTCACAGGTGCTGCCACTGAAGGAGGCGGTGGGTCTGTACCCGAAACCACAAGAGAAGAGCCCACCGGCTCCGAGCAGCAACGCGTACACGCGCCTCCTGAACCTTGACATGGTCATAGGCATGCAGGCCGAATTTTGAGCCGAGAGAGCAAGCCTGTCCCTGACCCGAAGAAGAAGGCACCAGACGACATGTCGCATAGGGCCTGTTGACATGCATGCACCGTTCGCAAACCATGCGCCAGAAGAAAAAGGAGGACAAGAAAACGGAGGCTGCTGCGAGGCCAGAGCATGACGGTGTGGCAAAGCCTAGACCAGAGTTCCTTGTCCAAACCCCAGGAAACAGGAGAAGAAGGCGCATAAGAAGGAGAAGCATGCCCTGGACGTGTCCGCAGCCAAGCAAGAGGGCCGAGAGGAGCTCGCAAAGGCGGGCTAGACTGTGCAAAGTGGCGTCCTGCAGAAACCTCCGAACTATATCGCGGTTCGTTATTTGGCAGGCGGAGAAGGCGTGGAAGAAGAAGCTCAACCACGACGCCTGGCTCCAGAACAAAGAGGAACACGCCAAGCTTCGCGAGGAGGAAAAGCTAAACCAGGCCGCAAGCCGCGGAGCTGTGTCCGAGATCACTTTTACTGCATAGCCTTCATAAGATTCGGCAGCGGCGCCCCAGAAGCTCAAGGACGTGCTGGAAGTCAACCGACAGAATGCGGCCAATTCCCGGGCCCGCAAGCAAGGCCTGCGGCAGAAATCCGCCGGCAACACAGGTCCTGCGTAACTTGCGTGGCTCAGGCAGGCAAGCCGCTGGCTTTCCCGGCATGTGCGGCGGCCGGGATTTAGGGTTCAGAGTGTAGCATTTAGGGTTTAGGGGTTTTTGGGGTTTAGGATTTAGGGTTTAGGGTGCAGGATTTAGGGTTTAGGGGTTTTAGGGTTTAGGTTTTAGGTTTTAGGGTTTAGGATTACGGGTTCAGGGTTTAGGGGTTTAGGGTTTAGGGTGTAGGGGTGGTGGGTGTTTGGGGGTTCAGGGTTCAGGGTGCTGGCATAAGGCCTAGGGTACTTTGGGGCTTCACAAAGGTTTTTTTTGTATGACCGTGGTTGTAACGGTGGGCTTGGAGGGCGTGTCTCGTTTGTGGTGTTGAATTCCGAGGCTTTCGGGTTTGAGGCTTGGGCTGCACTTTGAGGCTCCCTGGTTAGTTTTGCTAAAGAAGGCTTCCCTGCACCCGCGGCAAAACGATTTTGAATGAAGGATCCTCCGAGTTAGTTTGATTGTTTCCGTTTCTAGGCTCCAATTCATCCGCGCTCCCCGACCCTCCCCTCCCCATACTCAGCAGATCCATCCCCACACCTTTGAACAAAAGGGATGGCCAGAGAGCCGGAAATGCTTCCTTTCCTTTCACAGTGTCACCGGAGCACCCGGGAATTGTGCGAGGTTCCGTTTGGCAAGCTAGACTGGGATTGCAAAGTTGATGGCAAAGTTGCAAGATTTCCAAAGTTGCAAGATGATCCATCGTGCTTGTATTGTGGATGCTGGACGTTTGGATGCGAATCTTCCAACTTTCCTTCTTCCACCATAGGGCTTAGGGCTTAGGCTTCATGGGCTAAGAAGTTCTCATTCCTTTGCTCCCAAAGGAAGTCATATACAAGAGTTCAGTACCCCCCTGCAGTAGAGCTGGACAGGCCATTGGGGATTGTTGTTGCGACTTCAGGAAGCTCCTTGATCTCGAGATTTTGTTTTACTGGGTGTAGCGTTTGGGTTCATGCAACCCTATTAAAGAAAGGAATACCTATCTATGGTCCATACTGGGATACTGGGATGTGTTAGTGAAGTTTCCGATGTGGCACCTGCCAAGCATACCCGAAGCCGAGGTCTTGCTCGATGGCTCTGTGGTCACCTGGGGCGACTCCCGCTATGGTGCGGACAGGACTGCAGTGCAGGACAGGGTTGGGCAGCAAGCGATTCGGAATTCGGCTAGGTTGTTTGAAGGTCAGGTTTTCGAAGTAACATGCCTGCAACAACGTCATTACCGTGTTCCTGCATCCCGACATAACCTCCATGTAGTCCATCTGCAATCCTGAGCTTATCGCCAATGCTGCAGTCATAGTGCTTCCTTCCATGTTTACCGAAGTTTATCAATTATCCAAAACCTACGCTTTGGTCAAGCGGAGGCATAGCATTCCAAACCATCTCTCTACATGCAAAGTAAAACAAATCCCCATATCCTGTCCCAGCTGAACAGGCTCTAAGCCTTCTAGGGATGTAAATGCTACGTGGAGCCTCCCCAGGCCATGCATGGTATGCGCCGGATGTCTCATGCACCGTAAAGATACATACGCATATATGTAAGTAAGTAGTTAAGCACTAGATAGATAGCTAGCTAGGTAGATAGATAGATAGAGAAATGGAGAGATGGAGAGATAGAGAGGTAGAGAGAGAGAGAGAGAGAGAGAGAGAGCGAGACACACACACACACAGATACAGGTAAAGGTCAAATCATGGTCAGTTTGGGGAACCCTATATAGGTCCATTCTTAATACGGCACACTATAGTTAGGGAACCCAAAAGAGACCCTATTTTGCACCACCCATATCGAGAGAGAGAGAGAGAGAGAGAAAAGCAGAGTGTGGCAGTGCGCGCTTGCGTGCGGGGGAGGGGAGCTACCCTTCCTCAGAAGAGATAGAGATAGACACAACGCACACACATCCATGTACTGTGTCGGACCACCATGGGACCATGAGAACACCTGCATCTTCGATGCAAGCATGTGGACCCATGCGGCAGAACGCCAAACAGCTTTTCTCGTTAAGACAGCCCCCAAGCCCTGAATCCCTGAACTAGATCTTGTCCTTAGGCTCCGAGCCCGGAGGAGGTAAACATGATGCAAAATTTTCTCTGCGGTCTTACGGCATCGAGAAGCGTTTAGGCGCAATCGAATCGCTGCGAACTCCCATTATGCGCTTGCAAAGCATCAGCTGTCATGTCATTATGGGTAGCTCCAAATCCTACAACGCTGTCCTCTATGACTCCTCAGCCTGGACGGCATCATGATTCATGGCCCTGAAAGCGGGAGGAGGAAATCCTTAAATGTTGAAGCTCATAAGCCCTAAATCCTCCAGCTTTATGTCCTAAGCCCTAAACCTTAAACCCTAAGTCCTAAAACTTACACCCTAACCCCTAAACCCTAAACCCCTGTCCAGACGAAGGGCCGACTACCCAAACAACCGCAGTCCGGCAGGATCAGCTTCGCAACGTTGCCCAGGCTTTAGGGGGTTTTGGGGGTTGAGTTTAGGGCTTTAGGGCTTTAGGGGTTTATTGGTTTAGGGGTTTAGGGGTTTAGGGTTCAGGGCTTTAGGGTTTCAGGGGTTAGGGGTTTAGCGTTTAGGGCTTTCGGGTTTTTTAGGGGTTTGGGGTTTAGGGTTTTAGGGGTTTAGGGTTTAGGGCTTTACGGGGTGAAGTGGGGAGTATACACTGAACCCTAAAGGATCGTCACGACAGCTGCAGTTCTCTTGAGGCAGTGGCGGCAGGCGTATCTCTCCAGAGAAAAGAAGCTAAGATGTCTCCAAGAGTTTCCTCATTCTGCCGAATATGGGAGTTTCCGAAAAAAAGGGGGTACCTGATTTTGGGGTCCCTTATAAGGATCCTACTATTTAGGGTACAACACTAGGGCCCCCTATTTTCGGAAGCCCCCATATGAAGCCAGAAGTGAATCGCCAGCAAGAGCTTTACTACAGTACACCTCAGAACCCAAGTCTAAGCACTAAGGCCTCTATTCTAGAACCCCCTATAAAAACAGAACCCGCGGATATCGAATCCCATTGAAAGAACCCTAAACCCCGGTTTTTAAGGCTATACTAGAACCCCTATAGAACATAACCCGCTAATGTCGAATCCCATTGAAAGGACCCTAAACCCCAGTGATTTAAGGCCCCGGTTTGATGCAAAGCCCCAGACACTTCGAGTCGGTGACAGGGCGGGGAGCAGCTCGAAAGAGAACGCATGGAGGACCGCCGTCCCTTTGTTACAGGGAAGCTACAGGTGGGGAGTTTAGGGTATATAGGGCTTCTATAAGGCTTCTATAAGGTATATAGGCCTTCTATAAGCCTACAAGGGACTCTGTAACTTCAGAAGCCCTCATGAAACTCCTTACGACCCCCTGTAACATGACTCAGGAGCTGAATTACTACACTTTAAACTTCTTGGGATAATATGATCCCTTATAGAATTGAAAGTGTACACTTTGCTTGCTTATGAACTCAACAACTAAGATGATACTCAAACCTTCATGAAGCCGAAGCCTCCTCCAAAGCAGCAGGAGCTGGGTGGTGCCGGCGTCTACTCTGTGGATCTCTGGAAGAAAACGATCTTGGAGGCTTCTTTTCTGTGGGATTCATAGGGGTTCTTTATGTTCTTTATAGGGTTTAGGGTTTAGGGGGATATGGGAGTTTCCGAAAATAAGGGGTACCTGATTTTGGTGTCCCCTGTCCCTTATAGTGAATGTTCTGATGTTTTTTGTTTTGAGAGCTCTTTTTGAGCGCGTTCACAGGCTGTACTGGGGTTTGAACTGGTGGCTTTCGGATGGAAGGTCTTCGGTTTGGAGTTTAAAAGTTGGGACGGTCCAGGGTTTCTATGCCTTCAAACTGTGTTTTTGGACGGTGTTACGGGCTGGCGTTGGGGGTTTTGTCGTCTAGAATTCTGGGCTTCCCAGTTTAAATACAAGGTTCAGTGCTTCGCACTGGGTGTCTTTTCAGGAACCCCAGAGTCAAGATTGAGGTCCTAGTTTCTGAGGCAGCAGAGAGGTCATGAAGCCCAGTCAAAATCTTGTTTGTAAACGAGTTTAAGTGACCTTTTACCGTCTTGGGGTACGATGATATACCTAGGTGGCCTTCTGTTCCCCCTAGGATACTGGACAAGCAAGTGTAGGTTCTTCCGTAAGTGCAACAGGATCCCAGCTGGAAGTACGACATCGTGCCTGAGATCATGGATGGCCACAACATTGTTGATTTCGT